TAAGTTTGTCAATTAATTTGATGGATTATACTTATACTTAGTGGGTTGTTCTACAATTAATTCATGCTTGTAGGTAGATAGACAATCTTTACTTAATTTGATATTCCATGACTTATTATTGCAAATTACATCATTTTCTAGATTGATGTGTGCTATAATTATGACTAGTTTAATGGGTTATGTTTAGAATTGACGGATTGTGCTGCACTTAGTTTATTTGTTGGTTAAGTAGACGATTCATATATGAATTTGATTGTTCATTCTTAATATTGCAATTGGTAGTCGCATTTTGTTCACAAGAAGGTTTTTCCCAAATTAGTTGAAAGTGTATGGTTTGGTGAACGAGCTTGTGTAAATTACGGCAAACCATATGGGAGATCTGTGTAAATTAAGGCAAACCATAGAAGAGCTTGTGTAAATTAAGGAAAATCATAAGGTGCCGCCTGTAATTATGACAAATCATAGAGGAGGTTGTATAAATTACCCCTTATAATATACACTTCAGAAATCTATTTGAACGAGAACTCCCAAATTGAAGAAACCCAAACACCCAATTCTGATTCTCTCTTGAATAGTTCATCCCCGCATTCTTTGATGATACTGAAGATGATGATTGATAACTATTTTAAAATGTGATGGAATTGTGGCCTATCTTTTAGGGTTGTTTTGTTGTCTATTCAAGGAAGGAAGAGAACAGAGCTTCAATGAAGATCCCAGCAAGTGTACGTGTTTCAAAAAAGTTCTTTTCTCTTTACAATACAGAATCAGATAGTTTTTTTGGAACCCAGTCAAACTCCGAATGGAAGGTGAGCGGAAAGGGTCTGCCAAGCCATAGAATAGGGATCCAATACAAATCGCAGACGCCATTGAGAACAACATTCAGCTCAAGGACTCGGTGATAATGGGGATTAAGAAAAATGAGACCGATAACCTAACTTTCCATATGTTACTAATTACTCCATTATACATATCAATTGAACCCAAACTCCATCCAGACTCTTTGACACCATTTTCTTTTTTAAGTTTGCTACTTTTGTCCCTCTCAATCCATCCAAACCCAATAGAAAAATTGTTGGAGAACTCTTGGTGTAGATCATGTGCAAAATGAAAGAATGATTCAGCAATGAAAAGCAACTTCGTCCCTATATCTGAAGGGAAGATTGTTTGGAAATGAAAGTATTGTATTATGATGATAAGGTTATGATGTGCTGTTTTTAATTGGTCAGTAGGACTGTCTTGCCACGTCAGCATATCAAGTTGGAAAATAATAAAAATGCCTTTCAATTTAAGGGCAAAAAGGTAAATTACTTTCTGTAAATGGTTGGTTAACGTATTGTCCTAAATTGCAACAATTATTGCAACAGTGTCATAGACTCATAGCTCGGGTTTAGTGCACTTAATCTAATTTTATATCGCACTTAACCCTCTTTTATACGAGAGGTAGAAGTTTTAGAGTAAAAATTTGTATTTTTAGCCAAAATTTTTCAGGACCAAAATCTAGCTCCCAGACAGAAAAATCCAACTGCTGGGACTTCAAAAGGCAACCGGTGGGGTTTTCTCAAACCAAAAAGGAAAATTTAAGCACTATACCAATTTGATTCCTTTCCTAATTTAGTTCTACTAATTTAGTTTTAAAGCGAAGTCTTTACACGTAATTACCAAAATTTTCAAAGGGTATTATTAGGGTTGTATGAACACATAAATATATCCTATATTTTCAAAATAATTAGGGCTTCCAATATTCAAGTTTTCAAATCCTAGGAGAGCCTTAGAGAGATTTTGCAAAGATTGTTTATTTTTTGATTTGAATACACATATTATATACACGAGTTATTTATGATGTATTTCTCTCTGTGATCGGAGTTCGTTTTCATTAAAGATTTTTTGTTACCGGTCATCAAAACAATTTTTCAATTTCAAAAATTGATTTTAAAGAAAAAGAGGGATCGATCACACTTTGAAGGGGTCAAAACATTCACGGAGTGTTGTTATTTTACCAACAAACCTTCTATAGAAATCAAGGGAGTAAGCTTGAAGTCAAGAGCTTTTAGACGGGGAAGTCGCAAAGCCAAAGTCGTTCAATAAGTTGGTTCTTGATAAAGTGAAGGGATGTGAATCTGAATCAAAATCCATTATACTTTGTTTTATCTATAATGGATTGTTTCAAGCAAAACCACGTAACTGTTTCCGATGTTTTTCCAATTGTTGGATTAATTCCTCCAATTAGGTTTCTTTGTTGGATTAAATCTACTTTTTATTTTACTTGCACTTTACTTTTACTTTGTGGGTTGTTTAATTTACTCTGATTTGGGAAAATTAAATTTAAACAAAAATCGAATAAAAGAACAAGTTGAATCTATTCACACCTCTAAGTTGCTTATCCATATTATATCATCATGCCCTAAGGCCGAGTGGAGTTTTGGGTAAATTAATGAACGTTTCTGAAAATGATAAATCTGCAAAATGTTGTTTTAGGACTTCATTCAAGGAAAAAACAGGTTGTGGATGACTTGGCTCCAAACCATGTATGCTCATTTTTATTCTATATGGCCTGTGTGGTTAAACAGAAGCAATCTATGTTCTGGAAACACCTTATGGAAGTTAGAGACTTCATAGCCCAAAATGTTTTGTTTCAAATTGGGGATGGTAGATCCTTGAAACATTTTTCCCCTAGAATTTTCAACTCTATGCCTAATTTTTCCCTAGAATTTTCAAGTGCATAAATTCCCCTCCCCTAGATCATCCTCAATATAATTACAAATTTGACGTTTGACTTAGCAGTGGGACCTTGATGCAACACCATTTTTAGCACCTTGTAATTTGAAGGTGATGCATCTTCAAATGCCTATGTTGAATATTCATATTATCAAATATAAATAAACTGGCAAAATTGTTGACTTCATTCTTCTGGTTTCGGCTTCTTCCTTAATTTGCTGTCTTTCTAATGAAATTTTAAACAAAGTTGTCGATAGACAGGCTTTTGAAGAGCACGGACTTTGAAGCATCTTTTTTCTTGAAAATTCAAATAAGATATTTTATAAAATTCGTGGATCAAATAAAACTAGATAAACCAAATACTTATATATAGTTATGTTGTACCCTTTGATAAAAAAACCCAAAAAAAATAAAAAAAATTGTTTGAATTACCAAAAAATGCAATATTTAAGATGTAGATATGTATGAGGAAAGAATAATGAATTTCCAGCTGTGGGTATGGGACCCCTTCAATCCATTTTGTCATCACTCGTGAAAAAATGGAGGGCTATATTATTGTTGATCCATCCACGGTGGTCCTTGGACATAAATAACACCTTCACCAATACGAAGCACTCAATATAATAATTGAAGCACTCGATATAATAATTGAACGAGAAGTACTAAATATCACGGGAGTATAGCGTTGGTCTCATTCTTTTTTCGGAAAATACTCGTCTCATTCTACCTTTAAATGTGATGATAATTCAAGTTCATCCTATCTTTAAATGTGACGAGATTAATTACTATATTCATAGTTTAAGAATTGTCATTGTCGATACCATCTCCTCAAAATATTTAATATTTTGGGATGACCTATGTACCGAATAAGAAAATAAATATTCTCTATTATTCAAAACTATTGAATACACTCCAAAGGTCCAACCAACCTAGTCCTTTTGTTATCAAACTCCTCCTTTCATATGTTAACAATTGACTACAATGCCGAAAAAAAAAAAAAAAAAATGGCTACAAAGAAATTAATATCTAATTAAACATCAAGTATCTATTTTGATTTCCCAATTGCTGCAATATATATATAGGTTGAATATTTAAGTTTCATGAGGACATAAACACAAGAAAACTTGAAGAGAGTAGCAGAGAAAAGGCACATAAAAGCATCATATGTCTTCGGAATTATCTTACTCTGCAAGTCCATCGGAACACCAAGACTTGAAGCTTCTGAATGCTGCGATGATTCAAAGTCCAGAAAGTCCGAGAACAATACAGACCATTATTAACCTTTTTGTTCAGTTTCTTTTTCTCGTTAGAATCTTAATCAATTTTGCTCGTGTTTTTCATATAATTTTGACCTATCATCTTAAAAAAATTCCTAAACATATATTTTTGATCCACCATTTTGAAACAATTTTTATACTCTTTTAGATTTTGTGTATAAGTTTTTATTAAATTGTTCATTAAAATGGTTGTAATTATTAAAAATAAAAATAAAATTATGAAGTCAGTCTGTCTTGTATGCATATTGCTTATTTTCCATTGATAGCAACCAGTTCTGTAATTATTTGATGAAATCTCATTAACTTATTTGAATTTGACAAAAATGGATGTATGTGGTTTTGTTCTCTTTATTCTGTTTGCCAAAAATAAAGTGAAAGAGAAAGTGAGGTTAATTTTATCCTAAAAATAATGTTTTTAATATCCAACAAATTGACATATACTAGTATGAAACTCTCTTTTACAGGAAATGTGTTCCAACGAAACGCCATTATTTATAATAGAGTAAGGCTATTAGGGGAACCCTTAATAACAAAAGTCGTGAGCCCTCCGCATGTAAAGTTAGAGGAGACTTGTCCGAATCTGAGTAAAAAAGAATTAGACATATATAAACAGGAATGCAATACTATTTAACAACTTAAGCTTTTAAATCAAATAATAAGGTTTCAATTGGCTACATACTCTAATATTAGATGCAGACTAGACCTATTTCGTGATCCAGTATCACCAAACCCGCACCCGCACCCGCACCCGCACGAGAATGGCGTTCGGGTTCGGATTGTTACCCGGTTCTGTCACCATTTGACATATTTATTTATTTATTTTCATCTCATAAATATTTTATTATCGGATGTTTGTTCTATCTATCAAGAGAAAGATCTTTCATGTATCCAGTGGTGTCCATTTATGTAAACGCATTCGAGCTGTGGGTCCCCTTCATTTCATCGAGTGGTGTCTATCATCGTCTCCGTCAGTACTAGTTGACTGTGGAAGTCAAATTTTGCGACTACAATAATCAACCTTTTCTGAATTCCTTTGGCAACAAATAGACACTACACCATCCATCTTCTTCACCAACAAGAAGCACTAGACTTGCCATGGAACTTACAAGATTAATGACTCTTCTTTCAATCCCTGTTCTCATATTTTACTGTTCTTGTACTATAGTATTTTGCACAGCCATAAACACAATTACATCAACTCAACCCATCAATGACCCTGAAGCTATAGTCTCCAATGGTGCCACCTTCAAGCTGGGATTTTTTAGTCCTGTTAATTCTACTAACCGGTATGTTGGTATCTGGTACAACCAGATCTCTGTGAAGGCTGTGGTATGGGTCGCCAATAGAGATAAACCTCTTAATGACTCTTCCGGGATTCTGACAATATCCAAGGATGGCAACCTTGTGGTCTTGGATAGACACAAACAGATTGTTTGGTCATCAGATGTTCCAAATCCTCCGGTGAATTCAAGTGCCCAGCTTTCAAATTCTGGGAATCTTGTCTTGCGAGATGACTCCAATGGAAACAAAATATGGGAGAGTTTTGAACACCCTTCTGATTCTTTCTTGCAGGGGATGAAACTTAGTACCAACAAGTTCACAGATGAGAAGATTCGGCTGACCGCATGGAAAAGCCCTTCAGATCCATCCAGTGGAAGGTTCACTTTTGGCATCAATCCTCTGAATATTCCAGAAATTTATGTATGGAATGGTAGTCATCCATACTGGCGCAGTGGCCCATGGAGTGGGCAGATTTTTATTGGCATACCTCAAATGGTTTCTGTATACAATCGCAGAATTCAAATTCTAGATGACAAAGAACGAAATGTATCTATGACTTACACTTACGCAAATGAGCCTTCTCTGTCAACCCTATACCTTACCTTAAGTTCTGATGGAAATATAATGGACACGTACCGGGAAGAAGGAAAGGAGACTTGGAAAATTCCGTGGTCAGCTCCTGCTACTGAATGTGAAGTTTATGGCAAGTGTGGTCCATTTGGAAGCTGCAATGTGCATGGTGCCCCAATTTGCACCTGTTTACAAGGATTTAATCCAAATGACATTGAGGAATGGAGTAGAGGAAATTGGACCGGTGGATGTGTGAGGAGGAGTCAATTGCAGTGCGAGAAAAACAACAGTACTGGTGGTGAAAAGGGCAAAGAAGATGCGTTTCTGAAGCTAAAGACGGTGAAAGTGCCCGCCTTTGCCGAGTTGTCAACTACATATTCAGAAGACAAGTGCAAAAGTGAGTGCTTGAATAATTGCTCTTGTATAGCTTATGCATATTACAGTGGCCTTGGTTGTATGGAGTGGAGTGGAGACTTAATTGACATACAGAAATTTTCCTATGCCGGAGCAGATCTTAACATTCGTGTTGCATATTCAGAACTTGGTAAGTCTTTTTTTCATCATCCTCTTTTGCTTATTCTGTTTGTTTTACTTCTTGATTCAGAATGAGCAAATATCACTTGAATTTGAACCATTGCATATTCTAAGCATAGTTTATTATATTAGCACAAGTATAATGCCTTTTCCCATTTGCCCACTGAAAAAGAGAGCCACGGAAATTGTCTAATTCTCAATTTTTTAATCCACATTAACCCTACTACTTTCTAAAAGATTGTTGTCTTTTACAGGAAAAAAGAGAAGCACAAAACTAGTTGTCAAAATTGCAGTGCCCATAGGGTTATTAACCATTGCTATCTGTATTTATCTTTCCTGGAGGTGGATGGCTAGACAAAGAGGTATATGCCCTTTAAAATTAGCAAAAGAGATTAGCACATATTGCTGTTATTACATAGATTACCTATTACTAAATTTTGAATCAGGAAGGAAGAACAAGAGGGAGAAGATGTTATTTGAAAGAAGGGGAGTGAATCCAGATCATTCGAATGAAAAAAATCTTAACCAAATTAAACTTGAAGACATACCTCTATTCAGTTTTGAGGAACTGGCAATTGCAACAGACAATTTTCACGTGGCCAATAAGCTCGGGCAAGGTGGTTTTGGTCCAGTGTACAAGGTAATGCTTGTTCATCCAGAGCTTTACGCTGTACTAGAAAAGAAAGAAATCAGTTTCATTATTAATTTCAGGGAAAATTGTTGAGCGGACAAGATATAGCTGTCAAACGACTTTCAAGTTCCTCTGGACAAGGGCTGGAGGAGTTTATGAATGAGGTTAGGGTAATTTCCAAACTCCAGCATCGCAATCTTGTTAGGCTTCTTGGCTGCTGTGTGGAAGGAGAAGAAAAGATGTTGATCTATGAATACATGCCAAATAAAAGCTTGGATGCAGTTCTCTTTGGTTAGTTCATGCTAAAGTTGTTTATGTTATTTCTAGTTATTTCAACATCTAAACTTAACATCAGCAGAAACTTCTTGTGTTGAGAGGACAGAATGCCTTCTTTTATAGTATTTAGGAAGATACTAATCTACTAATACCATCTATTTTATTTTCCCTGCAACTTTAACCAACTTGTTTTTTCTTTTCTTCAATATTATTTCAGATCCAATCAAGAAAAAAGTTCTGGATTGGAGAAAACGTGCCAACATTATTGAAGGGATTGGTCGAGGACTACTTTACCTTCACAGGGATTCCAGATTGAAGATTATTCATAGAGATCTAAAAACGAGTAACGTTCTATTAGATGAAAATTTAAATCCAAAAATTTCAGATTTTGGCATGGCAAAGATTTTTGGAGGCAACCAAGACCAAGCCAACACTGGAAGGGTTGTTGGAACTTTGTAAGTAGCTCTTGCTTTGTCCAAAATGATCAATCATTCCTGTGATAATCATTTTTTCTTATTGGGTACTTCAACTTAAATAATTTTACTATTTGGGTTGTAATGATATAATGCAGTGGTTATATGGCCCCTGAATATGCAATGGAAGGGAGATTCTCCGAAAAATCTGATGTCTTTAGCTTTGGAGTACTATTATTAGAGATTTTAAGTGGGCGAAAAAATACTAGTTTTTATCATGACGAAGAGTCTTTGAGCCTTCTAAGATTTGTAAGTTCACATGAATCTTTGTCTCAGTAACTCCATAGTTTCTTTAACTTCAAACTTCCTAATTCCGACATTTCATGGGTTTGCTAATCTCTCCAGGCATGGAAATTATGGAAAGAAGATATGATTGTAAAGCTTATAGATCCAACAACTTCTGATCCATACTTCCAAGTGGAGATGTTGAGATACATACATATAGGACTACTGTGTGTGCAAGAATTCGCTGCTAATAGGCCAACTATTTCTACTATTGTTTTGATGCTTAGTAGGGAAATTGCAAATCTTCCAACTCCAAAGCAACCTGCATTTAGTGAAATAAAAGGTGTCTCAAGTATGCAGAATTCTCAACAGAGCCAAAGGAGTTGTTCTTCAAACAATGTAACTGTTACAACAATTGTTGGCCGTTAGCTTGCAAATTCTTATGATTTCTTTTCTCTTTTACAATTATCCCTCAAGTGCACTTCAATTGTATATTTGAAACCTGTGGAACTTGTAGAGCACTTTTTTTCAATTGTAATTTTGCTCAAAACCCATGGAAATGGTTTGTGGATCTTTTTAATTGGGATTGGAATTCTATGGGAAAATTTTATCAAATAGTTTAATGGTTTATATTACAGTGTGCTGTGAAATCTCAGAAAAACAAAATGATTTTATGTAACGACCCAAATTCGTAAATCCGAATTGCTAACTGGTTTTCAACCCGACTAGAGGGCACTAAGGGCAAAATGGTTATTATGTACCTCCCCATATTGTAGGAGTCATAATGATAGCACACCAATTGTTTCTAACCAAATCGGTTCATGAAAGAATGATATCGTCGACTGTGGGCTCACTTTAGGTCCTTAGGGTTGATAAGGGTAAAATGGTCATTTTATTTATAAAAAATATGGAATGAGACCTACCCCATTAGAAAGATGACTAAAACACATGCAAGTTAGACTCAAGAACGACCCCATTTGGGTTTTAAATGAAAAAGTTACGAGTACTCAAAGTTCGGATGAAATTTCTGAAAAATGAAAAATAGAGGATCGATCTCAACAATAGCATTTAGGTATTTCATACTAGTGTACGTAGAATGCAATGCAATGGCCCATAATTTCCCAACCTTAGTGTTAACCGACTCCACACTTAACCTTCACCGACCCCAATTCCCACCAACGCTAACCGACTTTACCAAGCTGGGATTGACACTCTCCTGGCCTCTTGGCCATTTGGGGTATAGTATCAACTTTTTCACGTCCTACACCGAACCACGCCCCCTCTAGGTCAAGTTAGCACCGGGCTCGCGATACCCGATCCATTTTTAAATTTCTCTTTCCCGCCCATCCTAAGATGGCTAATTTGTCAATTTTGCTCACTTTTCTCACCATTCTAGAATGGTCCAATACACCTCTAACTCAATTTCCCCACCACATCGTGCATATATATCAACTTCTTCAATTTCACTACAATTTCATTCTTACACTAATAATAACATAAACATGGCATTCATCACAACATGCACACAATCATGGCATTTCTCACAAAAAATTATAAGTATATTTATCATAAATCTCATGTCATCACGAATCATGCTATCAGTTATCATTTAAGTAACTTTGCATCCAAGTCATGTTATACGCACATTTGACATAAATTAAACACATTGTTGAACCACACTCTAGCATGCTTCCCTAATATCAACACATAGCTATTTAAATCCACATTTTTCACATATTCATATGCAAGAATAGGAATAAGAAAAATCATAGCATACTTGCTCAATCAAACGCAAAATTTAGAGCATTAGGAAACCCTACCTCAATTCTTCTAGCTAAACAAGCCCTTAGCCAAGCCCTAATCTCAAAATTCCTCCAAGCCCTAGCAAGATATATTGGTGTCAAATGGTAGCCCTCTCCAAGCTCATCATCTTTCCCTTCTTGGTCTTCCTCTATATCCTACCCTAAACCCTTCAAAAATGGTCTTGAAACAATGGAAGACATGGATACATATAAACTTAGAGATATAGAGAGAGAAAGAGGAAGAAACTAGAGAGAGAGAGATGCACGAAAATGGGAAAGAAATGAGAAAATTGGGCTTGTCTTGCAACTTCCTAATGGCCAACAATGTGCCAAGTGTCAACCTCCCATGGTTTACTAACTTAGGTGAAATCACTATCTTGCCCTTTCCCTTTCAATGCAATACCATCTACATCCCATAAATATCTACTTCAATGTATAGATATAGGTTTATGTATATATGTACGAAAAGACCACAATGCCCGTCAACGCAAATAGCCAAACCGGGAGAAGTTCCCGAGCTCAAAAATCGTCCCGACTTCTGAAAATATATAAAATTGATTTCATTAAGTCTAATTGACTTCAAATAATTAAAATGCATTTCTAAAACCCTCATCTCAAGAAAATGGCCTAAGCGGCCTTCGGGGCTCGCATGGCATGCAAAAAGATGCACAAAAATAAATAAATAAAAATTTAAAAATAATCCAGAAAAATCCGGGGCGTTCCATTCCATTCCATTCTTGTACACCTAACGCAACATTATATGGTTTTCTCAACTAAAAAGGAAAGTTCTTTTGAATACCAACTTGATTCTTTTTCTGATTTGGATTTAAAGGAAAGTTTTTGCACAAAATTGTCAACTTTCCAAAGGCTTTTAGGATTGTCTAAACAACTATAAATACATTGGAGGGTAAAGTACAAAAAATCCCTCTAAACTATGTTCGAACTTGCAAATAAACCCCTGAGGTATATTTTGCACATAATACCCCCTGAACTATCACATTTAGTTGCAAAATACCCCAATGCCTTGACTATTTTCATTTAATGACCATAATGCCCTTTCTTGTTGAATTAAACTTAATATATTTTTCTCATTGAAATAAATTATGAAAAAATTCATACTAATTTGATAACATATTCTCCATTAAATTTTCATAAATATACTTTTACTTTTTGAAATTAATTATTTAAATAAAAAACTTAAGTAGAAAATTTTAAAACAATTTAACTAATTTATTTAATTTTTTATTTAAGTAATTTATTAATTTTTCATGAATATATTATATATTTTATAAAAAAATGTAATTTTAAGATAAAAAAGTTTCAACTAAGTATCATGGTTTATTATAAATAGTAAAGTTTTAATAATAAGTTAATCATTTTAGAAAATAGTAGCTACAATTTTTTTTCCCACTTTTATGATAAATTGATACTAATAATAAAATTAAGATAACTAGTATAATTAAAATTTAGATAAGAGAAAAAATCTGAAAAATAATTTAATAAAAAATGATAAATTTAATAAGAAGGGTAAAATAATCTTTTGTGATGAATTTGTCCTTAATTGTAACAAATCAATAATTCAGGAAGACAATTTGTAGTTCAGGGGGATTATTTGCAAAAGGGCAATAGTTTAGGAGTTTTTTATTGCACTTTACCCTATATTGTATATTCTCAAAATCATTATTAGGACATTCAATATTCAAGTTTTCAAACCCTATGACAGCCTAAGAGAGATTTTGCAGAGATTGTTTATTTTGTAATTTGAGAATACACATACTACACTTACGAGTGACTTAGGATCTGTTTCGCTCTGTGATCAGAGTTCGTTTTAATTGAAGATTTTTTGTTACCGGTCATCAAAGCAATTTCATTTTTCAACTTAAAAAAATACTGATTTTAAAAAAAATGAGTGAGCGATCATATTTTGAAGGGGTCAAAGCATTCGCGAAGTGTTCTTGTTCTACCAGCAATCGTTATACAGGAATCAAATGAGTAAGTCTGAAGTCAAGAGCGTTTGGACAGGGGAGTCGTAAAGCCAGAGGCGTTCAACAAGTTGGTTCTTGATAGAATGAAGGGATATGAGTCTAAGTCAAAGTTCATTGTACTTTACTTCATTTATAGTGGATCTTTTTCGCTCAAGACCGCGTGACAGTCTTTGAGGTTTTTCCAATTATTGGATGATTCTCCATCTAGGTTTTCTCGCTAAAAATCCAATGTCACTCTAACTCTACTTTTTACTTTACTTGCACTTTATTTTTACTTTATGAGATGTTTAATTTACTTTTATTTCGGTAAATTTAATTTAAGCAAAATTGAATAAAGAATAAGTTGAACCTATTCAACCCCCTCTAAGTTGCTTATCCATATTATATTCCACAATCTTTTTTTTTTTTTTTTTTTTCCTAATTGGTACTTACACATATATGCCTACACCAAAGCTCAAACCCCTAACCTCTCTTTGAGAAGTAGGGGCTTGGTACCGTTAGGCACTAGCCTTTTGGTATTCCATAACCCTTTCACATTGTGCAACTCACAACATCATCATACCCTAATGCAGAGGGGGCTTTTGGATAAATTAATGAAGGTTTCTGAAAATGATAATGCTGCAAAATTTTGATTGTTTTAGGACTTCATTCAAGGAAAAAACAGGCACTGTGGATGTCTTGGCTTAAACCTGTGTTAGCTCAATTTTCTTCTATATGGGTCTATGTGGTTGAACAGAAGCAATCTATGTTCTGGAAACACCTTATGGAAGTTTGAGACTTCATGGCCCAAAACGTTTTGTTTCAAATTGGGGATGGTAGATCCTTGAAACTTTTTTCCCTAGAATTTTCAACTCTATGCCTAATTTTCCCCTAGAATTTTCAATTGCAAAAATTCCCCTCCCCTAGACCATCCTCAATATAATTACAAATTTTTTTTTTGTTTTTAATTTTTTTTATCCAAAAGCAACCAGAGAGACAAAACCACAAAACAAAAACAACAGTCTCAACCAGGAAGAGAGATGATATCCTTCTCAACCACCTGCGAGAGCCATATAGGCCACACCACCCAACTGAAATCAGACGTTGACTTAGAAGTGGGACCTTGATGCAACAACATTTTTAGACCTTGTAATTTGGTTAATGTCATTCCTTGTTTTCTATATGGCAAAAATGTCATTCACGTTACTGGCAAAAATGTTGAATAATCTCACACTGCCGACTTCATTCTACAGTACTTGTTTGGCTTCTTCCCTCAATTTGCTCCCATCTTTTCAATCAAGTTGTCCATAGACAGACTTTGAAGCATCTTTTATCTTTGAAAATTCAAAGCAAATATTTTATAAAATTCGCTTGAATTACCAAAAGATAGCAATGTTTAGGATGTAGCACTCAATAGAGTCATTCGCCTTGCCAGTAACCATCTTCACCAACAATAGTGAATTGTCAGCCGTGGGTGTGGGTCCCCTTCAATTCATTTTGTCAACACTCACATTAACAAGTAGCACTCAATAGAATTCTTGGGCTTGCGATGTTACAAAATCAATGGATAGAATGAGCTATTATTATTTTGGTTAATTTTACTGACATCTTTTTAAATTTGACCAAATACTAATCTCAAATATTTTTTAAAAATAACTAAAATTTATTTTTCCTTTTTCATCAAGGTCTCTGTTAAAAAAAATATATATATATATTTATTCTTAATTTTTTAATCACATTTATTTCAAAATATCAAATTATTTAAATAACTATTACACCCTTAATTAAATTCCTACCTACCCACTATCAACCAAAAGTAGCCGGAAATTGAATGCATTCTCTCTCAATAGAATTATTGGCCTTGCTATGGTACAAAATCAATGGATAGAATTAGCTCTTATTATTTTGGGTTGATTTCATTGATACCCTTAAGTTTGATCAAATATTAACTTCAAACATTTTTAAAAAATAACTATCACTTAAGTTTATTTTCACTTTTCTGTCACGGTCTCCGTTAAAAACATGAGAAAAGACATCTTTGCCCCTAATTTTTTAATCACATTTATTCCAAAATATCATATTACCTAAATGACTATTATACCCCTAATTAAATTCCTACCTACCCACTATCAACCAAAAGTCGCCGGAAATTGAATGCATTCTCAGATTTCAAAATTAAGATCGAGGAATTTAATGGAGAAATTATCAAGGGAATCGAAGATGTTATAAATTCGTCAGATTTGAAGAACAAGATTGAGCTATTGAATTTGGAGGTAGCAAAGGCAGGAAAGACACCTATTGCGGAGTCTAAAAATAAGATTCAGACTTTGGAGCAACAAAAAAAGCAGAGCCTTGAAGCTATGAATTCCTCTGGGTTAAAAAAGACAGTCAATAATTCAGGCGACTTTTGGTTGGTAACCGTTGTTCCATATATATATATATATATATTATGAAATTGAAGAGAACAAAGACATTGAAAGCCAAGTAACAGATTGGACATGAGAAGAAGAAACCATGTCAACTAATATAAATAAATTAAAAAAATTAAAAGCCCTGTGATTTACAAGACTTGCATATAGTTTTGACAAGCTCTAAATTGGCTACACCGTGATGGAAGTTTTCTAGGTTCTGAGGCCAAACAAATTTTCAAATAATTTGTGCTCGCAACCGTAGCTGCTGCAAGTCACCGCCGGCAACAATCTTCCTATCCTACATCTGCTGCGAGGTTAATAACCTCTCTTTTTCTTCCTTCCAGTCCTCTAGTAATACTTTGATTGGCACAACTGGAGATTCAGATGTGGCCGTGGTGGCGAGGGAGGGAGGAGAGGCGACAGGGTATATATATAAATTTGTAGTGTATTCAGAGATATTATAGTCTTTTTATTTAATTCTTTTAGTTAGAAAGTATTTTTTACCAAATCAAATGGTATTTAAGTCATATTACATAGTGTTAATATAACCGTTGGAGTGTGAGCGAAAGACTAGTGCAAGTGATAGTAATTTTCAAAAAATATTTGAGTGTGATATTTGGCCAAATCTGAAGGGATGGGAGTGAAATTAATCATATTATTTTTATTAACATTGACCTTTTCAACTATTATTCTTTTTTAATTTCTCCGGAAAAAAAAAAAATTATTCTTCATTTTTTAATATAAATGTGATAAATAAAAAAACAGCAATCAAATATTTTATTGACAAATTCTCATTTTATTTTATTTTTAAATTTTAAATTCTTTCGTTAATTATGATGAAGTGAGTAGTAAAGAAAAGATAAAAAAAAAAAAAAAAAAAAAAAAACAGTGCGAGTAAAGCCAAATACCTGTAAAAAAGAATCTGATGTCAGCTTCGGCAACATTGTGAAAAAGCCACTCACTCAAAGTCACAGTATTTTTTAATATTGTGCATGTGCTTTAACCTTTTTGTTCAGTTTCTTTTTTTCCTAGGAATCTTAATCAATTTTGCTCGGGTTTTTCTTATGAATTTGACCTATCATCTTAAATATATTCCTGAACATATATTTTAAACAATTTTTTTTTTTTTTTTTTTTTTTTTTTTTTGTCATCTCATAAATAGTTGATTATTGGATATTTGTGTATCAAGAGATGGTGTCCACCATTGTCTCTGTCAAGACTTAAGAGTCAAGTTGACTTGGTGGATGTTAAATTTTTGCGCCTACAATAATCTAAGCTTTTCTTGTACTCCATGGAATTCCTTTGGCAACATATAAGAAGACATCACACACCTTCCATCTTCTTCACCAACAAGAAGCACTAGACTTGCCATGGAGCGTGCAAGATTAATGCCTCTTGTTTCAATCCCTGTTATCATATTTTACTGTTCTTGTACTATAGTATTTTGCACACCCATAGACACAATTACATCAACTCAACCTATCAATGACCCTGAAGCTATAGTCTCCAATGGTGCCACCTTCAAACTGGGTTTTTTTAGCCCTAGTGTTAATTCCACTAACCGGTATGTAGGTATCTGGTACAATGACGCCTCTGCCCAGGCTGTGGTATGGGTTGCCAATAGAGATATACCTCTGAATGACTCCTCTGGGACTATGACGATATCCAAGGATGGAAATCTTGTAGTCTTGGATGGACAGAAAAAGATTGTTTGGTCATCCGACGTTCCGAATTCTTTGACGAATTCAAGTTGTCAGCTTTCGGATTCTGGGAACCTTATCTTGCGAGATGACTCCAATGGAAAGGCAATATGGCAGAGTTTTGAACACCCTTCTGATTCTTTCTTGCCGGAGATGAAAATTGGTACCGAAAAGCTTACAGGTAAGAAGAGTCAGCTGACCTCATGGAAAAGCCCTTCAGATCCATCCAGTGGAAGGTTCACTTGTGGCGTAAATCCTCTGAATATTCCAGAAGCCTATATATGGAATGGTAGTGATCCATACTGGCGGAGTGGTCCATGGAATGGCCAGGTTTTTATTGGCATTCCTGACATGGTTGCTGTATACTATAGCAGATTTCAAATGGTAGATGATACAAGCGTAACTATAAGTTATTCTTATGATAATAAGTCCTCTCTGTTATACCATGCCTTAACTTCTGATGGAATTCTAACTCAGAGGTATCGGGGAGAAGGAAAGGAGACTTGGGAAACCATGTGGTCGGCAAAAAAATCTGAATGTGACGAATATGGCAAGTGTGGTCCATTTGGAAGCTGCAATTTTGTGCAGGGTTCCCCAATTTGTACCTGTTTACATGGATTTAATCCAAATGATATGGAGGAATGGAGTAGAGGAAATTGGACCAGTGGATGTGTAAGGAGGAGTCAATTGCAGTGCGAGATAAACAACAACAGCACTGGTGGTGAAAAGGGCAAAGAAGATGGGTTTCTGAAGCTAACGACAATGAAAGTGCCCGCCTTTGCCAAGTTGTCGACTGCATATTCAGACGATACGTGCAAAAGTGAGTGTTTGAATAATTGCTCTTGTATAGCTTATGCATATTACAGTGGCCTTGCTTGCATGGAGTGGAGTGGAGACTTAATTGACATACAGAAATTTGCCTATGCCGGAGCAGATCTTTACATTCGTGTTGCATATTCAGAACTTGGTAAGTTTTTTTTTTTCATCATCCTCTTTTGCTTATTCTGTTTGTTTTACTTCTTGATTCAGCATAAGCAAATATCACTTGAATTTGAACCATTACATATTCTAAACATGTTAGCCTCCTGACAGAAATGCATTAGTTATTATAATAGCATAAGTATAATACCTTTTCCCATTTGCCCACAGAAAAAGAGAGCCACGGAAATTGTCTAATTCTCAATTTTTTAATCCACATTAACTCAAACTACTTTCTAAAAGATTGTTGTTGTCTTTTACAGAAAAAAAGAGAAGCTCAAAACTAGTTATCAAAATTGCAGTGCCCATAGGGTCATTAACCATTGCAATCTGTATCTATCTTTCCTGGAGGTGGATGGCTAGACAAAGAGGTATATGCCCTTTAAAATTAGCTCAAGAGTTTAGCACATATTGCTATTATTACATAGATTACCTATTATTAAATTTTGAATCAGGAATGAAGAACAAGAGGGAGAAGATATTATTTGAAAGAAGGGGAGTGGATCCAAATTGTTCGAATGGAGAAAATCTGAACCAAATTAAACTTGAAGACCTACCTCTATTCAGTTTTGAGGAACTGGCAATTGCAACAGACAATTTTGATGTGGTCAATAAGCTCGGGCAGGGTGGTTTTGGTCTAGTGTACAAGGTAATGCTTGTTCATCTAGAGCTTTACGCTGTACTAGAAAAGAAAGAAATCAGTTTCATTGTTAATTTCAGGGAAAATTGCTAAGCGGACAAGATATAGCTGTAAAACGGCTTTCAAGTTCCTCTGGACAAGGGCTGGAGCAGTTTATGAATGAGGTTAGGGTAATTTCCAAACTCCAGCATCGCAATCTTGTTAGACTTCTTGGCTGCTGTGTGGAAGGAGAAGAAAAGATATTGATATATGAATACATGCCAAATAAAAGCTTGGATGCAGTTCTCTTTGGTTAGTTTATGATAAAGTTGTTTATGTTATTTCTAGTTATTTCAAATTCATAGACTTAACATGAGTAGAAACTTCTTGTGTTGAGAAGACAGAATGCCTTTTCTATAGTATTTGGGAAGATACTGATCTACTAATACAATAAATTTGGTCTCACTATCTATTTTATTTTCCCTACAATTTTAACCTCCTTGTTTTTTTTCTTTTCTTCAATATTCTTTCAGATCCAATCAAGAAAAAACTTCTAGATTGGAGAAAACGTGCCAACATTATTGAAGGGGTTGGGCGAGGACTACTTTACCTTCACAGGGATTCCAGATTGAAGATTATTCATAGAGATCTAAAAACGAGTAATGTTCTGTTGGATGAAAATCTAAATCCAAAAATTTCAGATTTTGGCATGGCAAAGATTTTTGGAGGCAACCAAGACCAAGCCAACACTGGAAGGGTTGTTGGAACTTTGTAAGTAGCTTTTGCTTTGTCCAAACTGATCAATCATTCATACGATAATCCTTCTTTCTCATTGGGTACTTCAACTCAAATAATTTTACTATTTGGGTTGTAATGACATAATGCAGAGGGTATATGGCTCCTGAATATGCAATGGAAGGGAGATTCTCCGAAAAATCTGATGTTTTTAGCTTTGGAGTATTGTTATTAGAGATTGTAAGTGGGCAAAAAAACACTACTTTTTATCATGATGAAGAGTCTTTGAGCCTTCCAAGATTTGTAAGTTCACATGAATCTTTGTCTTAGTTACTCCATAGTTTCTTTAACTTCAAACTTCCTAATTCCAACATTTCATGGGTTTGCTAATCTCTCCAGGCATGGAAATTGTGGAAAGAAGATATGATTGTAAAGCTTATAGATCCAACAACTTCTGATCCATGCTTCCAAGTGGAGATCTTGAGATACATACATATAGGACTGCTGTGTGTGCAAGAATTCGCCACTAATAGGCCAACTATTTCTACTATTGTTTTGATGCTTAGTAGGGAAATTGCAGATCTTCCAACTCCAGAGCAGCCTGCATTTACTGAAATACAAGGTGTCTCAAGTATACAGAATTCTCAACAGAACCAAAGGAGTTGTTCTGCAAACAATGTAACTGTTACAACAATTGCTGGCCGTTAGCATGCGAATTCTTGTGATATCTTTTCTCTCTTACAATTTTCCCTCAACTGCACTTCAATTGTATATTTGAAACCTGTGGAACTGGTAGAGCGCTTGTTTTTTCAATTGTAATTTTGCTCAAAACCCTGTGGAAATGGTTTGTGGATCTTTTTAATTGGGATTGGAATTCTGTGGGAAAATTTTACCAAGTAGTTAAATGGTATAGGTTACAGTGTGCTGTGAAATCTCAGACAAGTAAAATGATATGACTGATTTTTACTTGTGGACTAGAAATCAGAGTCTTCATGATGGTGCTTATGTCATTTTAGCTTGCTGGGCTCTCAAAGAGTACCTCCTCTCTGGTTTGGGTGTTCGTTATCAGTTATCGTTGTTATTTTATTCCTTTGTTGTAGTTTGTTGTTTCTTGCTTATCTGTATCCTCGGCAGCTCATGCCCATAGCTGTTTTGTGCTTGTGATAGTTGCTTATTCTTGGCTTCCTTAGCTTGTTTTGGTAGCTTTTAAGTTCGGGCCTCCTGTAATTAGGAATTACAATTGCAGCTTACGTCTCAAAATTGTGACTTTAATTCAATCTTCAATTCTTAAATTCTCTCTCTTTAGAACAAATATATAATCATTTTTGATAAATACGAAAATCTCTTGCTCCAAAATTGAGTCACCAAAATCTAACATATCTAAAATTTTGCAGGGGAAAGATTACAAAGTCAATTGAAGTGTTACTTGAATAATCATTTTTACTAGTTTTGCCTCTGCATAGGGTGAAGGACTGTCTAAATTCTTTTCTAGTACTTCCTTTCATGAGGGAGATGTGTTGTCAAGTATCTGCTTATTTCTTTTTCACTATCCATCTTTTAATTAATAGGGTCTATTTGATGGTAGTATAAATAGGGAAAATTTAACTTTTGTCTAATTTCTAAGCCTATATATATATATTTTTCGGAAAGTGTTTCTAAGCCTATATTACAAACGAAAAAGAAATGGTGTACAATGGCCACTCAAAAAGTAATTATCAATACCTAAAGAGAGAAAGGTTAATCATACCTTGATCATTGCTCACAATTTTGCCGGTTTAATAGCCCTGCGAAGGTGTTGAGACGCCGACCTATCTTCTGCACCGCACTGTTCGACCCCAGAACTTTCATGGTGAGTGTGTGACCGTTCGTCCCCAGTTCGAGGTTATCGACCTTCTCTCTCTCCAAAACTCTCTGAACTCTGAAGGTTCTTGGTTGAATGGAGAAGACGGTGGCAAAGCTGGAGATCGGGTCCCTCTCGATGATTTTTCGTTCCGCCACTCCACAACAGGTCGGCCCTTTTCGGAATCCCAGGTATCGATCTCTTCCTCTCTCTCTCTCTCCATCACGATCCGTCCCTTAACATATGCATATATATTCTGTTCTGGGTTCAGTTATAATTTTGTGGATCTGTTGAATGTTTGGTGTATGCCCAAATTGGATCATACACAAACCGTGTGTACCATTTTTGGGGTTCACGGGGTGGAGTAATGATAATGATCAGTATATATATGTATATGTATACATGTTCTTGTTCTGGATTCAGATAACAATTTTGTGTATCTTCTATATGCCCAAATTGGTGGTGATGGTCGCCGGCAGGTAGTTGTTGAGCTGTGGCGGGCGTGTTTCATGAAGATGGAGAAAAGTTAAATAGGATAAAAAAAATATATTAGAGAATAACCTAAAAAGTGACAGTAATTTGGTCTCTCAAATACCAAATTAATTGCGTATAACTTGTCAAATACAGTATGTGTTAAAAGTGACAGTAATTTGGTCTCTCAAAAATTACTCAAAAGTTAATTTTTTTTTTTCGTATATATATAGATTGATGAAAAAAGAATATATGTATTGTGATATATACCATCATGTTTTTTTATTTTGGGTGTCAAAAAATAATAATAATAAAAAGTGTTTGCAAAATTATAACTAAAAGGTTAAGGGAATACAAAGTGTGTTTTTTGTCGATCTTAAAAAAAAAAAAAATTATTGAAGACAAATAGAAGAACGCACAGGTATATTGCTTTTAAGATGTATGAGAGACCTAAGTTGGTCACCGTTGATAAGGCTATGCTCCAATCCTCGCACCATTGGTAAAGTAAAGAAAAAAAATTTATTATAAGAATGAAATTTAAGAAATAAATCATGAAATGATTATTTTTGATATTTCATTTTTAAATTTAATAATTACTTATAAAAAAAAAAATCACCCAAAAGAACAAATTTGATCGCTAAAACTTAATTTTCCTATATACAAAATTGATGGTTGTCTTAGCAGTGGGACCAAGATGCAACATTATTCATTGATTTTCTACACAAGGTGATGGATCTTTCAAATGCCTACGTGAAATCATTGCTTGGGAAGTCTTCCGTGTTCGACCTCCTGACCCATCTGCTGGAGCTCCGACACAGAGCTCCATATGAGAAGACCGGAGGATGGGTATCCATTTTTAACGGATACATTCGGGCCATTAACAATGACCATTCAATCTGATTTCACACTGATAAAAAAAAATAATAAAAAAATCTGATTTCACAAGGGCTCTGTCTTTGTCTTTTATTTTATTTTTTTTCCCGGGTCTATTGGGCAATTCATTGTTTTGGGTTCTCCACTCATTGACTCTCTAAAATATAAAAAAATAAAATAAAAAATGTTAGAATAATGCAATCAAGTCTCACATTGATTACGTCATCTTCTTGTTTAGCTTTTTAAGAAGGAAAAATTACATATAAATGGAGTCAAAGTTTCATATTTACTTAGAGACTGAGTCAAAGTTCCATATTTCTCTAAAATGGATTACTGAGGTGGCACATGGTTTTTTACTGTTTAAAAAATTGTGGTGCCTAAAATGCCCTTTCCTAATAAAAAAGTAGTACCTTCAGTTCAAAAAAGTAGTACCTTCAGTTCAAAAATGTAGTACCTTCGGAGAAAAAGTAGTACCTTCGCGAGTGTTTAAAAAACATGGTACCTGCACGCCAAAAAGTAGTACCTTCAGTTCAAAAAAGTAGTACCTTCGAAGAAAAAGTAGTACCTTCGCGGAAGGGTATTTTAGGCATTATAATTTCTAAACAGTAAAAAACCATGTGCTACCTCAGCAATCCATTTTAGAGAAATATGGAACTTTGACTCAGCCTCTAAGTAAATATGGAACTTTAACTCCATTTATATGTAATTTTCCCTTTTAAGAAAGTAGATAAACAGAGTTCTAAAGGGCAGGGACTTTTTCTTGCCTTTGAAAAAAAAAAAGGCTGGGACTTTGATTTTTTTTTTTTTTCTTTGAAAATTCAAAGATGATAGACCGGCATCTAAATTATACAATATTTAGTATATATAGAGAAGCTTGAGCAAAGAATTTTCAACTGTGGGTTACCCTTCAACCCAGTTACCGGGTGAGGCTTTCCGCCACCCATTTCTTTGGTTCAAAGTTGTCTGCACAACACCCGCGAAAAAAAAAAATGTACAGTTGACTTCACACCTCAGATCTTCAACAACAAGAAGCACTCAACAGAATTACTGGACTTGGCATGGTACGTACAAGCTTAATGACTCTTCTTCTAATCCTTGTTCTCATATTTTATTGTTCTTGTAATATAGAATTTTGCACTGCCATAGACACAATTACATCAACTCAACCCATCAATGACCCTGAAACTATTGTCTCCAATGGTGCCACCTTCAAACTGGGATTTTTTAGCCCTAGTGTTAATTCTACTAACCGGTATGTTGGTATCTGGTACAACCACATCTATGCCAAGGCTGTGGTATGGGTTGCGAATAGAGATAACCCTCTTAATGATTCCTCTGGGGCTATGACAATATCCAAGGATGGCAATCTTGTGGTCTTGGATGAACAGAAACAGATTGTTTGGTCATCAGATGTTCCAGATTCTTTGGTGAATTCAAGTGCTCAGCTTTCAGATTCCGGGAACCTTGTCTTGCGAGATGACTCCAATGGAAGTATAATATGGGAGAGTTTTGAACACCCTTCTGATTCGTTGTTGCAGGGTATGAAAATTAGTACCAACAAGTTTACAGATAAGAAGACTAAGCTGACCTCATGGAAAAGCCCTTCAGATCCATCCACTGGAAGGTTCAGTTTTGGCATCAATCCTCTGAATATTCCAGAACTATATGTATGGAATGGAAGTCGTCCATACTGGCGCAGTGGTCCATGGAATGGGCTGTTTTTTATTGGCATACCTCACATAAATGTTGAATACTATGCCAAATTTGAAGTTGTAGATGATAAAGAAGGAACCGTAGATGGAAGTTACACTAATCCATATGAGTCTTTTCTGTTATACCTTGCCATAACTTCTGACGGAACTCTAATTCAGAAGATTCAGGAAGAAGGAAAGGAGACGTGGGAAATTTCGTGGTTGGCTCAACATTCTGAATGTGACGCCTATGGCAAGTGTGGTCCTTTTGGAAGCTGCAATGTGCAGCGTTCACCAATTTGCACATGTTTACAAGGATTTGATCCAAAGGATATGGAGGGATGGAGTAGAGGAAATTGGACTAGTGGATGTGTAAGGAGGAGACAATTGCAGTGCGAGAGAAACAACAGTGGTGGTGAAAAGGGCAAAGAAGATGGGTTTCTGAAACTAAAGACAGTGAAATTGCCGGCCTTTGCTGAGTGGCTATTTGATTCAGAAGACAAGTGCAAAAACCAGTGCTTCAATAATTGTTCTTGTATAGCTTATGCATATTATAGTGGCTTCGGTTGTATGCAGTGGAGTGAAGACTTAATTGACATACAGGAATTTTCCAATGGTGGGGCAGATCTTTACATTCGTCTGGCATATTCAGAACTTGGTAACTTCTTTCATTATGTGCTTCTAATAATCCTCTTTTTCTTCTTCAGTTTGTTTTACTTGTTGATTCAAAATTAAGAAAATATCAGTAGAATTTGAACCATTGTACATACTAAACATGTTAGCCACCTGACATTTGTACTCTAGTTTAGAAATGCATTAGTCTATTTTAAAAGCATAAGTATAATACTTTCTCCCATTTGCCAACAGCAAAAAGAGAGCCACGGAAATTGTCTAAATTCTCAATTTTTTAATCCATATTAACTCAAGTACTCTCTAAAAGTTTGTTGTGTTTTACAGAAAAAAAGAAAAGCACAAAACTAGTTATCACAATTGCAGTGCTCATAGGGTCATTAGTCATTGGAATCTGTATTTATCTTTCCTGGAGGTTGATGGCCAGACTACGAGGTACATGGCCTTTAAAATTTGCTCAAGAGATTAGCACATATTACTGTTATTATATAGATTACCTATTATTAAATTCTGAATCAGTGGATCCACATCGTTCGAATGAAAATATGCTTGGAGATAATCCGAACCAAATTAAACTTGAAGACCTACCTTTATTCAGTTTCGAGGAACTGGCAATTGCAACAGACAATTTTGATGTGGCCAATAAGCTCGGGCAGGGTGGTTTTGGTCCAGTGTACAAGGTAATTCTTGTTCATCGAAAGCGCTTTACACTTTACAAAAATAGAAAGAAAACAGTTTCATTTTTAATTTCAGGGAAAATTGTCAAGCGGACAAGATATAGCTGTCAAACGGCTTTCGAGATTCTCTGGACAAGGGCTGGAGGAGTTTATGAATGAGGTTGTGGTAATTTCCCAACTCCAACATCGCAATCTTGTTAGACTTCTTGGTTGCTGTGTGGAAGGAGAAGAAAAGTTGTTGATCTATGAATACCTGCCACATAAAAGCTTGGATGCATTTCTCTTTGGTTAGCTCTCTATATTATTTCTAGTTATTTTAATTTCATAACCTTAGTATCAGCATGAACTTCAATGTGTTTAGAAGGAATGCTTTGTTTTCTTAGTCTTTGGGAACATACTGATCTACTAATTAGTATAACTATGAATTTCGTCCCAAACGTCGGTGTTATTGTTCCTACAACTTCAACCTACTTGTTTTTTTCTTTCTTTCTTTCTTTGATATTCACTCAGATCCAATCAAGAAAAATTTCCTAGATTGGAGAAAACGTTCTAGCATTATTGAAGGGATTGCTCGAGGACTCCTTTACCTTCACAGAGATTCTAGATTAAAGATTATTCATAGAGATCTAAAGACGAGTAACATTTTGTTGGACGAAAATTTAAATCCAAAAATTTCAGATTTCGACATGGCAAAGATTTTTGGAGGCAACCAAGACCAAGCCAACACTAGAAGGGTTGTTGGAACTTAGTAAGTAGCTTTTGCTTTGTCCAAAATGCTTAATCATTCATGATATAATAGGGTACTTCAACTCGAATAATTTTAATATTTTGCTGTAATGACACAATACAGTGGTTATATGGCCCCTGAATATGCAATAAAAGGGAGATTCTCGGAAAAATCTGATGTCTTTAGCTTTGGAGTTTTGTTATTAGAGATTGTAAGTGGGCAAAAAATCACTAGATTTTATCATGATGAAGAATCCTTGAGCCTTCTAGGATTTGTAAGTTCACATGAATCTTTTTCTCAGTTACTCCATAGTTTCTTTAACTTCAAACTTCCTAATTCCAACAATTCATGTGTTTGTTAATCTCCCCAGGCATGGAAATTGTGGAATGAAGATACGATTTTAAGGCTTATAGATCCAGCAATTTGTGATCCATGCTTCCAAGTGGAGATCTTGAGATACATACATGTAGGACTGTTGTGCATCCAAGATTTCGCCACTGATAGGCCACCTATGTCTACTGTTCTTTCCATGCTTAGTAATGAAATTGCAAAACTTCCAACTCCAAAGCAACCTGCATTTACTGAAATACAAGGTGTCTCAAATATACACTCTTCTCAACCGAGCCAAGGGAGATATTCTGGGAATGATGCATCTGTTTCAACCATTGAAGGCCGTTAGCATGCAAATTCTTGTGATTTTTCTCTTATTATTATCCCTCGAGTACACTTTAAATTGAACATACAAAACCTGTGAAACTGGTAGAGCACCTGTTTTTCAATTGCAATCGTGCTCAAAATATGTGGATATGGTTTGTGGATCTTTTTAATTGGGATTGTATTTCAGTGGGAAAATTTGGTCAAGCAGTTAAATGATTAATGTACCAATCTGATGTGAAATCTCAGAAAAGCAAAATGTGAGACTGATTTTTACTCTGTTACTGTTTGGCCCTTTTGGCCTTATTTATTTATTTTTTTTACACTTTATTTATTTTTTATTTTTTAATTAATTGGGATTGTAGTTTAGTGGTTTTCTCCCTTGTATTGTTTTGGTTGCTGCAGATTCTGTATTAGAGAGCTGTGACTCTCTGTGTTCTGTTTTGCTAGTTTGTTGCCAGCAGTTGGCAATAAAATGCTTCTTAAAATAATAATAATAATAATAATAAAAAAATCATGTCTGAAACATCTCTAGCATAAGGGCTTGTTTGGTATGCGTTTTATTTTTTACGTTTTGTTTTAACTCGAAACAAAACAAATGTTTTGTTATAAAGTGTTTTGAATAATAATCGGAGGCATGTTTGGTAACCTTAATTTGTTGCAAGATTTTTTAAAGCAAAAATATAAAAACATGTTTGGTAAAAAAGTGATGCAATTTTGAGAAGTATAATGGTTAGTTTAAAAATGACATTTAAGAGTTTTTCAAAAATAAAATTACTTTTCATTGCTACAGGAGACATATAAAAATGCTAAATTTATATTTTAATTTTTTGCCACTATTCACAAAACATTTCAACACTATATAAAACAAAATAACTTTTACAAATTCTATTATTTTCACTATTCACTACTACAGTACCTGACAAAAACAGAAATACCAAAAAAAATAAAAATAAAAAATAAAAATAAAAAATAAAAAAAGTTAGGCTGGATTACAACTCCAATAAACTATTTTCCATTACCCATAAACTTTTTTCCATTACTTGGTAAATATTGAAACTTCTTAATCATGATAATTCTACTATTTAGTATGTTGGCGTTAACAAGTGGCAGCCAAATTATGAACCAAGAAATTGGGCTGGATTGAGGAGAAAGTTGCTAGAAAAGTGGGCTGACTAATGGGTTAGTGTTAGCTGGTGGGCTAAAAGTAAAGGACATTTGGCATCTATTTTCAAGAAAGTGGGCTTGCTAAATGTTAAAATAGTGGGTGGCCTATAATTTACGTTACCATTTCAATTCATTGTCATTCACTTTTCAATGTGCTTTCCATTTCTCACAAATTTGATGCAAAATAGGTGCAATCGGAACCTGACACTGGCAAAAGATGGAAAATTAATGGAGGTGAGTGGTCTGCTCACCTCATGGAAAAGCTGTTCTGATCCATTTAAATTTTGAAAAATTTTTAGATCGATTTTAATATGATTTTCTAGAAAAATCTAAAAAAAAAAAAAAAAAAAAAAGAGAAAATGCAATCGAAATAAACAGGGATGAAAAATTAATATGATAAAGAAAAGACAGAGAGAGAAGAAAAAGACGAGTTCCATGTAAAAAGAGTAGTGGTGACTGGAAAAATATTGTTATAAAATTATTATTATTTTTTTTTGACAATTGTTTCAATTTTCTAAAAATTCAATTTTTGGAAGAAAAACAATTCAGTACTTTGATTCCATTTTAGGAAAGATATATCATTATTATCTTGATAAAAAATTAAATAATATTTTGCTATTTTTACAAAATTTCGTAAAAAACACGATTATTAGAAACAAAATAAAGAAATAATTTAATAACTTATTTAAGGAGTAGCTATATAATTTTTCATTTAAACAGTGACAACTAAAAATATTAGTAAATATTACTACTTGAAATTTATTTATTTATTATTTTTTTTTTGTTGAATATGGTACTTGTAAGTTGTTAATGCAAATTTTGGGCTAAAATTAAAGCAGGGGTAGCTACACGTTTTAGGTGGGTCCATAGTGATGCGCGTTCCTCTCTCCAAATAGATGAACATGGATCAAAACTGCTTTCAGGTGAAAGAGAATTTGAGGTCCAAAGCGAGGTGTTTGATAAAAATTCAGAGAGGTGAAATGGGTTTTGTGAGAAATTGTTGTCCCATAGTGGAAGATGGTGAAAAGAGAGTAGAAATACTCTGAGTTTACACATTGGCTAATTTGGGTTAGGTCTAATTCCACCACATGCGTCGCTAGCATGGGCCTGGACTGTCAATAAGAGTATTCATTTTTAAAAAAAAATAATTATCGAATTGGACTCTGGCAGTGTGGGCTGTCCAAACTTTACTTAAATCCTCCAACCCAATTAAAATTGGATTGGACTATCCAAATCAGAGGCGATTAATTGATTGTTATCCAAATTTATTATTTAATTGTTTGTTGTTTCATTTATTAATTTATATGTTTAATTAATTTTTTAATTAATTGTTTTTATTTTTTATTAGGCATAAAAATTAACGCTTCAAAATTTACCGAAAGTAACTTTCGAGACCTGTACATTTTTAATCAATTGTTGAATCGAGTATATTCTTATTATCTCATAAATATGTGAGTATAAAGTTTGTTAGGAATGCTATTTATTATCAGCGGCCTCTTGCTTTTCACGAGTATGAGAAAGTGAATGTATTGAATAATGAAATTAAGTTATAACTTTGACTTTTTCCCTCCTTAATTTGCTTTCGTTCTCATGAATTATTCAACAAAGTTGTAGCAGCCTAACAGGACAGTTTCAACATAGACGAGTTCAAATATCTTTTTTTCTTTGTTAATAACAAAGCTGATATTAATGTTGTGTTTTGGAGAATCTAATTGACACTTTAAAAGTAAAATTGGAGAAAAAAAATCAGGGAGTATCAGGGAGTATTAAAATTCATCGTGTAATATAATTAGTGTCACTTTTTATATTATTAACTTGAAAAGAATTTAGAATTTGGGAATTGATTAATATATTTGCTATTTTTCTTTGAAATGTTACAATTAAAAGCTCTATTACACATAATTTGTGGGTGGTGGTAAAAAAAATTGTGTGTAAAGATGTTTTGAACTCTGTTGATTATGGATTCTGCGCAACCTGGATCTGATCTGACTTCCTGAATAAAGAGAAGAAAAAGTGATCCTACGAACACCGGTGTGTTACCGGTGGAGTAGGCTCCGACGAACAAGTCAGTGCGAATGATAATCTCCCTGGAGAAATCGAGAAATTGAGTTACGGTTTATTGCGTACCTCAAAACGTTGATCCCCCGCCTTTTTTATAGGGCTTAGGTTAAGATGTCATGTAGAATTACCTTATTGTAATCTGTAGACTTAATCCTCATCGTAATCTCTAATCCTTATCATAATCTGTAAAGCCTATCTCAATCTGTAATCCTTATCGTAATCTGCAGAGCCTATCTCAATAGTGCGTTAATTTAGTAATCTTCCTTTAATTATGGATATTTAAATTATACATCCATCAGTTGCCCCCCGTTTCGGAGGATTGCTTATCAAACCACCGGAACGTTAATTCCAAAATATCACACAATAATATATAGTTGGAATTGCAGAGCCTTGTCCATTAGCCTGACTTATATTGTCATTTCGCGAATACAGTCGGGGGTCATAGTATCACATTGGCAGCTCGTATATGTGGCAAGCTCGTATATTTGTCGTATATTGGCAAGCTTGTATATTTGTCGTAGTGCCACATTGGCAGCTCGTATATGTGGCAAGCTGCCATGCTGGTAGTCTACCGTTATGTGGCAAGCTGCCATGCCATGCTGCCGTGGTAAGCTGTCCTGCTGGCATGCTGCCGTTATTTGTCAAGTTGCCCTGGCAGGCATACTGCTTTTATTTGGCAAGCTGCCCTGCTGGCTTGCTGCCTTTATTTGGAAAGCTGTTATGTTAGCATGCTGCCGTTATTTGGCAAGCTGCCTTGCTGGCATGCTGCCTTTATTTGACGCTGAGCTTAGTCAAATAGGGGGTCAACAGAGAACTAATGGATGTATAATTTAAATATCCATAATTAAGAGAAGATTACTAAATTAACGCACTATTGAGATAGGCTCTGCAGATTACGATAAGGATTACAGATTGAGATAGGCTTTATAGATTACGATAAGGATTAAAGATTGTGATAAGGATTAAAGATTACGATGAGGATTAAGTCTACAGATTACAATAAGGTAATTATACATGACATCTTAACCTAAGCCCTATAAAAAAGGCAGGGGAATCAACGTTTTGAGGTACGCAATAAACCGTAACTCAATTTCTCGATTTCTCCAGGGAGATTATCATTCGCACTGACTTGTTCGTCGGAGCCTACTCCACCGGTAACACACCGGTGTTCGTAGGATCACTTTTTCTTCTCTTTATTCAGGAAGTCAGATCAGATCCAGGTTGCGCAGAATCCATCATCAACAATTGGCGCCGTCTGTGGGAACGATTTTAGTTCTCTAAATAAAGTATGGTTCAATTGCGATCTGGTCTGGTTGCTGGCGAATACGAAGCGTTGTAAACTTCTGATCAAAGGAACTCGACAAGGCAACCCCCCGCCGTCCCAAACGATCAGGAACGCGTCACAGCGTTGGAACAATAGGTTTAAACCTTAAATAAGGGAATGAACCAATTAGTCCAGAAAAATTCAATGATTCTACAACGCTTAGCCGACCTTAATGAGGTGGAGAATAATGAAGTACCCAATAATGACTCCCGTAGGATTGACAACGACGCTGAGCTTAGTCAAATAGGGGGTCAACAGAGAAGCCATCACCATCGGTCTCTTGAACGGAATAATACCAGGCTCCGTGCAGGTACCTCTGGTTGTGTTGGTGACAAGATTGAAGACGTCACTTATTTCAATCTGTAGATGCAAGATCTGAGAACTAGGGTCAAAGACGTCATGCAAGCAATGAAAGGGAAGGGCCAGGCCACAGTGAACGATCTGGTACAGAAAACCAACCTAGCATAGCCTCGCTGTTATGTTATGAGTTGTCCTCTACCTAGCAAATTTAATATGCCAACTCTTGAGAGCTTCGATGGGACGCGGGACCCTCTCGATCATTTGGAGACCTACAGCCAACTCTTGAGAGCTTCGATGGGACGCGGGACCCTCTCGATCATTTGGAGAACTACAAAGCTCTTATGTATTTGCAAGTCGTACCGGATGAGATTATGTGCAGGGATTTCCCTACCACACTAAAGGGTTGGGCTCGTCCTTGGTTCAATAAATTAAAGCCAGGCTCCATTGAAATCTTTAATGAGTTGAGCAAACAATTCAT